AAATACTTTATGCATACAAAACTATAAGTACTCTTAATACCAAATAGAAGTAATTTTATTCTCCTTAATCCTTATTCTTTTCTAACTTGGTGATTGAATGTGTAAATATTGTTAACAAATTCAGATGGAAGTGAAACTAAATATGTAGATTCTTGACTAATGTGTGAAATATTTAAGGTGATAACATCCTGTAGTTAACTCCTGCAGTTCTTATGTGTGACCTTTTGCCTTTTCCCCCCATGCAGTTACTGCTTGCAAACAAAAAGACTTTTGTGCACTTTGTACTGGAGCCGATCATTACTGGTAGATCTTCATCTGGAGCATCTCTTTCTGCCAGATATGGTTGTTTGGTCCTCATAGAGAAAGTAAGCTCTCAGGCTTAGTGCATATTGTCAGAAGTATATGCCACACAATAATCCTGTTCTGGTTCAGATTGAGCGTTTGAATACTGGAGCACTGGTTTCTATACGAGGCGTTGGTCGTGTTGGCATTATGGATATTATTCAGGTACACTTTCGGTAACAACTTTTTACTCCTCTTTAGAGAGTAGATTTATCGTCTATTTTTTTGTCTCATATACTACTCTCCTCAGATGGAACCCTACTTGAGAGGGACTGTGATACCGAGACAAGACAAAGTTTCTGATCTCGAGAGGGAAATGCAACCTAAACTACAGGAATTAAGGGAGTATCTTTGTAGTCTGCAAGCTTTGCAACTCAAACTTAAGGTAGCTATTTACTGTTAACTCCATCATTTTCTTTCTAGTTACAATTTCTGGTTCGTGTAGTCCATTTATCAAGATTATGTCCACAACCATTGATTTATTAGGCGTCAAAGGATGAACAGTTGCAAACTCAAATAAAAGACTCGTTGTTATGGGCTGAAAGAGAAGCTTATGAGGATTGTGATCAATCTTTTGTTCCAAAATTTGATGAGCGCTTGTCTTTTGCGGCACTTCAACCTGTTTCAGGTGTAATTCTATTTTTCTATCTATATCTTCTTGCTTGTAAATTTCACTAAAAATAAAATGTCTCCTTAGCAATATATTTGCTGATCCAATAGTAGTCTGCTGAACACTTTCAGCAATTACTGCTGGCACACATTGCATTCAAGTTAGTATCAGTGATTATAGCATAAAAAAGTTGCAACTGATTTGGAAATTCTCACCAACTTCCCATGTGAAGTGCAAAACTCAATGAGCAAACAGATTCAAACTTGAAATCAGACTAATAAATAGGCAATCCCTTCTGTTGGGTATCTACTCAAACTCCAAGTTAGGATAGAGTTTTTAATTCTTTGTATAACTTCATGAGAATTAGATAAGGTTAGAGATCTATCATGATTAGGAGTTTGGGTTCCATCATGATTGGGAGTTTGAATTTTATTCTAATTAGGAAGTTAGGGGCTAGAGATAGGTTTTTGGTTTCTCTATATATATCCTTCTATTGTTAGAGGAAAAAGAAGAAGAAGAAGAAGTGTAGAGAGAAAGAGAGAGAGAGAGTTTAGCAGTCTTTGTCCGTACAAAAGATTGTAATTTGGAGGTGATAGTGGATTGATTTTGATCCCGTGGTTTTTCCCAGTTGAGGGTTTTCCACGTTAAATCTTGTGTGATTTTATTTGCTGCGTTTGGTGGTTTTTTGGGGGGTTTTACGTGATCTAAAAATTTCCTACAAGTGGTATCAGAGCGGGGTTCGACGGTTCGTGGAGATTCAAGATTTGCAACGACATTGGTGGCAACGGAACTGTAGTAACAGCACTGTTCACCGTGGTACTGTAGCGGAGGAACTGTTCACGGTGACGGAACTGTTCACGGTGACGCGCTGTTCACGGTGCTGTAGCGGTCGGGTACTGTAGCGGCAACAAATCCGACGGTTGAGGTTGATTTGTCTTTTGATCGAGAATTTGGAGGCGGATTTCGGTGATCCAGGAGTCGGTCCTAGGGTTTTTCGACGTGCTGAGTTTGTTTTTGACGTCAGTTTTATCAAATTCAATCTTTACAGGGACTGATTTGAATTTTGATCGCGGTTAGAGGATGATGACTTCTTCGGGTCCGAAGTTTGATATTCCGTTATTCAATGGCAAGACAAATTTTGCAGTATGCAGTGCACGGTTCAAGATATTCTTGTGTAGCAGGGTGTTGATCAAGTTTTGGAAGAGAAGAAACCTGAAGGATTGAAGGATGCTGAATGAAGTTCCATGCAAAAGAGGGCGGTTCTATTAGCATATATTCTTGTGTATAGATATTATTTGGTATCCTTGACCGAATAATATGTTGATTTTGTGAATATTATTAGTTCCTATTTTACGGGATTTGTTTCCTATTTTACGGGATTTGTTTAGGAGATTTTGTGAGGTTTTTCCTAATTTATAGCTTTGTAATGTGGTATAAATGGGGAGACCCTGATTGAATGAGAGGCACAGAGAAAATTCCCCAAATCTCTTGTCTTTACTTTATGGTATCAGAGCAACAGGTCTAATTTCTTCTGCATTTTTTTTCTTTCTTTCTCTTGTTCGATCATGGGGGATGACGACAAGAGCAGTGGCGCCACCAACGTCAATCCGATATACACGCTTTCTTCGCAAGATGGCACGGGGGCGAAAATTACTCATGTAGTCCTCACTGGGCCAAATTACGAAGAATGGGCGAAGGGTTTCCGGGTTGCGTTAGGGGCAAAGCGGAAATTGGGGTTCATTGATGGAACTCTCAAGCGGAAACCGGCTAATCCCAAAGAATGGGATGATTGGACGGCTGTCAATTACTTGGTTATTGCGTGGATTTTCAACACTATCGAACCTCGTGTTCGGTCCACCATTTCGTATCGAGAGACTGCCTATGACTTGTGGGAGGATATTCGCTCTCGTTTTTCGGTCGGTAACGATGTTAAAATCTATCAAATACAATGTGGTCTTGCCGAATGTAAGCAACAGACCAATGAAACTGTGATGGACTACTATGGTAGACTAAAGAAATTGTGGGACGACATTGAAGACTATGACCCGTTGCCGAGTTGTGAGTGCTCTAGTTGTCCAGTAACTCTCCGCAACCGTCGCGAGGCTGATAAGGTACGCGGTTTTCTTATGGGGCTTGAACCGTTTTATGCTACTGTGCGTTCTAACATCCTAGGCACCAAGCCCCTACCCTCGATGCAATTAGTTTATTCTCGTCTTGTGCAAGAAGAGGAGGTTCGTAACATGACCCAAGCTCGGGTTGACATGGCTCCAATGGCCTTTTCTGTACGTGACAGTAGTGGCAGAAAGCAGCCCGGGACTGGTTCACGCTCCAGGTTCACTTGTACCTATTGCAATAAGGATGGGCACACTGAAAGTCGTTGCTGGGCGAAACATGGCTATCCCTCGGACCGTGATCCACGCCGTTCTCGGGAGGCCTCTACATCTACTGCTCCTCTTAAAGTGAATGCTATTCTTGATGAGCAACAGGTTGCTACTAACATGGTGCGCTTGAGCGGTAAGAAAAATTTTACATGGATTGTCGACACCGGTGCGTCGGCACATGTTTGTTGTGATAAACGATTATTTGCTACATGTCACTCCATTACCCCCATTAAAATCGGTTTGCCAAACGGTGCCAGTTTAATTGGATAGCCATTAAAATCGGTTTGCCAAACGGTGCCAGTTTAATTGCTCATACGGCCGGGACAATCAAACTTAATGATCACTTGCTCATCTCTGATGTTTTATTTGTCCCGTCTTTCCAATATAATTTGCTCTCTGTCTCGCGGCTACTCTCGGCTCAACAACTCAGTGTCCAATTTACTAATTTTCAATGTTTGATACAGGACCATGCCTTGACGACGATTGGAGTGGGTGAATTATCAGATGGGCTCTTTTACCTGACTATGAAGGAACCAATTCGTGTGAATATCGTTACCTCCAAGGACGATGTTGAGTTGTGGCATAGACGGATGGGGCATCCTTCTTCTCAGGCAATGGAGCATTTACCTTCTATTTCCCGTAATTTTGTTCTTGATCCTTGTGACATTTGTTTTCGGGCAAAACAGACTCGTAATCCCTTTCCGTTAAGTAATAATAAAGCTGCACAATTGTTTGATTTAATTCATTGTGATGTGTGGGGACCGTATCAACCCAATCGTGCGTGTGACTCTCGATATTTTCTGTCTATTGTGGATGATTTTTCTCGCTGTGTTTGGGTCTATTTGATGAAAACTAAGGATGAGGTCCCCCGCCTTCTTCGTGAATTTTTCTCGCTTATTGCTCGTCAGTTTAATTGTCATGTGAAAATTTTGAGAAGTGATAATGGCACGGAGTTTCGTGGGCTTTTACCGTATTTTCGTGAACATGGGATCATTCACCAAACCTCAATGGTGAAAACACCCCAACAAAATGCTCGAGTTGAGCGTAAACATCGCCATATTTTAAACGTTGCTCGCGCGCTCCGATTTCAAAGTTCTTTACCTCTTGATTTTTGGGGCGAGTGTGTTTTGACCGCGGCTTATTTGATCAACCGTACTCCCTCTCGTGTTTTGGAGAATAAAACACCTTTTGAGTTACTTTTTCACCAAGTTCCTGACATGAGTTTGGTTCGGGTTTTCGGATGTTTATGTTATGCTAAAAATATTCATCCGTCTGATAAATTTGATTCCCGAAGTCGTCGTTGTATTTTTCTTGGTTATCCCTTTGGTAAGAAGGGTTGGCACTTGTATGATCTAGAAACGGGTGTTTATTTCCAATCTCGGGATGTCCGTTTTATCGAAAATCAGTTCCCCTTTGCTGAACCTGTCACAATCAGCAAGCCTGATTCGTCTTTGGCAGTTGACTCCTCCATTACACAGGATGTCTTTGATGTCGAGGGGGGGAATGATGGGAGTGATGATTTTGTCGAGCATGTTACTGATAATGCAGTAGGTCTTGAAGATGCTAATGAGGCTGACACAGTGGAGACGGCTAGTGAACAGCCCGTGGACACGATTCCTCATGGCACCATACCCGCTGAGTGTGACATTGCACGAGATGATAGTGATGGCAACGTTCTCATAGATGTGCCTGATGAGAGTGCTGAGAATACGGTTAACATGGAGGAGGGTGAAGAATTGGGTCGTGGTCACCGGGTAAAACGTGACAATACTCGTCATAAGGATTATGTGCGTTGGGACAAAATTAACGAGCATATTAACACGACATTGGTTCCTTCAAATCTGTCACCCACTACCATTTCCGTCTCAGGTACTCCGTATCCCATTGCTAATTATGTTAATTGTGATAATTTTTCTCGTGCCCATCAGCAATTTCTTGCGGCTATTTCTACTGAAATCGAGCCCAATTCTTTTAAAGAGGCTCTTCGTGACCCAAAGTGGAAGAAAGCTATGGAGGAAGAAATAGATGCGTTAGAAGCAAATAATACTTGGTCAGTGGAAGACTTACCACCGAATAAGACGGCCATAGGTTGTATGTGGGTCTACAAGATTAAGCGCAAGTCAGATGGGTCGGTCGAACGGTATAAAGCAAGGCTAGTAGTGTTTGGCAATCATCAGGTGGAAGGTATTGATTTTGTCGAAACTTTCGCTCCTACTGTCAAAATGGTTACTGTTCGTACTTTTCTCACTGTTGCTGCAATAAATAATTGGGAATTGCACCAAATGGATGTGCATAATGCTTTTCTTCATGGAGATTTGTCTGAAGAAGTATATATGCGATTTCCACCCGGGTCCGGTCACGTTTTTCAAGGAAAGGTTTGTCGTCTCCGTAAGTCTTTATACGGATTACGTCAAGCCCCACGTTGCTGGTATGCTAAACTTGCCACTGCTTTGTGTTCGTATGGATTTTCTCACAGTCCCTCTGATCATTCTTTATTTGTTTATCGTAAAGATGCTATTGTCCTTAATATTCTCGTTTATGTTGACGATTTGGTCATTGCTGGGAACGATGGTGCTGCTATCAGTGATTTTAAAACTTATCTAAATCAATGTTTTCGTATGAAAGATTTGGGTAAGTTGAAGTATTTTTTGGGTCTTGAGGTAGCCCGTAATCCTACTGGTATTTTTCTCTGTCAACGGAAATACACTCTTGATTTACTGACTGAGACAGGATTGCTTGGTTCCAAGCCTGCTAGTGTACCCATTGAGGAAAATCACCATTTGGCGCTGTCTTTGGAACCAATATTTAGTGAGCCTACACGATATCGTCGGTTGGTGGGCAAATTAATTTATCTTACTCTTACTCGACCAGAGATTAACTACTCCGTGCACATTCTCGCTCAGTTCATGCAGAATCCCTCGCAAGCACACTGGGACGCAGTTATGCGGGTTCTTCGCTATCTTAAGGGCAATCCAGGTCAGGGTATTTATCTTCGTGCCAATGCTTCTATGACACTTGAGGCTTACTGTGATGCTGATTGGGCAAGTTGTCCCATAAGTCGTCGTTCACTCACCGCATATTTTGTATTTCTTGGTGGTTCGCCTATTTCTTGGAAAACAAAGAAGCAGGATACTGTGTCTCGTTCTTCTGCTGAAGCAGAATATCGTGCAATGGCTTCCGCTACAAGTGAGATTATTTGGTTGAAAGGTCTGCTTCGGAGTTTGGGCATTGACCATCCATCGGTTGTCCCACTTCATTGTGACAGTCAAGCCGCACTTCATATTGCTAATAATCCAGTTTTTCATGAACGCACCAAACATATTGAGATAGATTGTCACTTTGTTCGCGATGAGATCGTGTGAGGCACTATTGCGCCATCATATGTGAATACTGCATTTCAGCTAGCTGATATTCTTACAAAGGCTCTTGGGCGATCTCAATTTCATTGTTTGCTAGACAAGTTGGGCATTTCTCGATTACATGCTCCAACTTGAGGGGGGGTATTAGCATATATTCTTGTGTATAGATATTATTTGGTATCCTTGACCGAATAATATGTTGATTTTGTGAATATTATTAGTTCCTATTTTACGGGATTTGTTTCCTATTTTACGGGATTTGTTTAGGAGATTTATCTCTTGTCTTTACTTTAGGTTCACACAATTCGTTTGGCACTCGTCCCTGAGATCAAGTACAATGTTATGTAAGAGACTACACCAAGGGGGCTGTGGGAAAGGCTCGAGGGGATTTATGCGTCGAAGTCGATGACCAACCGATTGTGTTTGAGGATGGAGCTTTATTCGTTGAAGATGGAAGAAGGTACTGCAATTCAAGACCATATCAATGCCTTTAATCAGCTAGTTTGTCAACTTATGAATATTGATGAGGAGATTAAAAAAGAAGAGCAGGCGCTACTCCTATTGTCTTCCTTGCCGAAGTCGTACAAGCCGTTAGTTCAGACGATAATTGTAAGGAAGTAGACTTTGAAGTTCGACGATGTGACAACACTCCTACATGAGAATGGAAGAATGATGGGAAAGGAGAGCGCATCTAATGGTGATGAGTGCACTAGCTTTTGAAGGTTCTAATCGAGGGAGGAGTAGGGGAGATGTGACAGTTATCGAGGAAGGTCAAAATCTCGGGCCCTAGACGACAACAAAAGGGAGTGCTATTATTACGGAGAGAAGGGTCACATTCAGTTCAGATGTTCCCAGATGTGTGATGATTTGAAGAGTATTAGACAGATGAAGCTTCAAGAAAATAAGAAGAAGACGGACTGCTCAGTGGTTGTGTGTGATGAAGATGTGGTTTTATTGATGCAGAGTACAAGTATTGATGCAGAGTATAAGTACTGATACGAGTAACACTTGAGTGTTAGATTCTGCAGCCTCTATGCACGTTTGCAACAAGAAAAATTATTTTAACACATTAAAGACAAATAAAGAATTTGACGGCGTGATTGTTGGAAACAACGAGAAGATGAAGGTTGAAGGTGTTGGAAGTGTTCGCCTTAAGCTTCATACTAGGAAGGTCGGAATTCTTTATCATGTGAAATATGTGCCGACATGTGATGCTAATTTAATTTCGTTGGGTGAGATGGCATCACGTGGATACAAGTATGTGGGTGAAGGAGAGCGGTGCAATGTGTATAGAGATGACGATTTGATTTTGTGAGGGAGGAAGAATAGCAATCATATTTGCTATTTAGATGGGTGATCCGTTAATGATGCAGATTACTCTTCTCAGACTTTTGTCCACCAGGGAGAGGTGAAGAATAAGAAAAAGAGAGTGAGTTTTTCTGAAGTCGTTGAGACACTTGGAGATTTTTCGTCGAGGGAGGATATGTTGGGTATTTACTCAAACTCCAAGTTAGGATAGAGTTTTTAATTCTTTGTATAACTTCATGAGAATTAGATAAGGTTAGGGATCTATCATGATTAGGAGTTTGGGTTCCATCATGATTGGGAGTTTGAATCTTATTCTAATTAGGAAGTTAGGCTAGAGATATAGTTTTAATTTCTCTATATATATCATTCTATTGTTAGAGGAAAAAGAAGAAGAAGAAGAAGAAGAAGTGTAGAGAGAAAGAGAGAGAGAGAGGGTTTGACAGTCTTTGTCCGTACAAAAGATTGTAATTTAGAGGTGATAGTGGATTGATTTTGATCCCGTGGTTTTTCCCAGTTGAGGGTTTTCCACGGTAAATCTTGTGTGATTTTATTTGCTGCGTTTGATGGTTTTTTGGGGTTTTTTACATGATCTAAAAATA